CTTCACTATTTGCTCCTCCTCTAAAATTATACATTGAAGGCATGGGTTCTAATGCATATCCCTGTTGAACTCCAGTGGTAACACCCTCTCTACTAAGAAAATAAACATTTATGTCTACGTTCTGTCATAACATGCAATGTTACTGTATGAATGTAATGGCATTTGTACTTATCCTTTGGGCTGTGTAGTGTCCCTAACAGTCTTAAGAATTTTGCTTTAAGATTTCTAGAAATCCAAACCATATCAACCCAAATCTCCCTCATCCACATGACGGTTGAGATCAGTTAATTGAAGTATTTTGCTATGAAATACACCTGCACAGTTGACTGAGATACATTTCTACTTGAGATTACTGCCCAAAAGAGAATTCTTGTGCTCTAAGTGTCTTTTCAGATGTTTGGCACTATTTTAATAATAGTTTCAAATGTCCCAAGGAATGCTGTAGTGAGTTTGTTCATAAATAAGTACTCTTAAACCACAGCCAATTATAGAAGAAACCTATAAATTTTACAGGTGGAATGTTCAAAATTAATAAACATAAACCAATGCATTTTTTAAAAAGAAAAATGTCTTTTTAAAACAAGGATAGTGACAGTGTTCACACAGAAATTAGGGACTAAAGTGTTTGACAAAGTTCTTAGGGATTTGGAAGGCTGTGTGTGGCTGTGTGCACATGCATAGTGTATAAATAACAGACAGCACTGTAAGTAGAGTTTTTCATAACCCTGATTACAGTGTACTGATATGTTAAAAACTGAACTGAATGACAATTATAAGGCAATCTGCATGCATTTTCTTAATGTTCATACCAGAAAAAGGAACCCATCACCCACTTTTAAAAGGCTGGTAACATTTCGACACTTCCTGACTAACTCTACAACTCACTCAGGCCTAACAAAACCTGGCTAAAATTAGGAAGATAAATACTTTTCTGGAAAAAATTATAACTCAAGCATCTCATACATCTATTTGTAGTGAGAAAAGACTATTAAAGTATCCCATATAAATTTTCAGTAATTGAAATTAAATCAAACCATCTTTGAAAATGAACAATTGCACCATCTTGATAGGGTTTAATCATCCTTCCAAAGTCACTTTGTAGTATTATACAACATAAGAATTGTCTGATTTATAGTGCAGAGAGCCCAGCTTGAAAATTGGAAACTAATTTGAATGAAAGAGATGACAGAAATATCTCTTGGTTGGTCTCCTTCAGGGCTTACAGAGTTCACACAGAAGTGCTGAGTCTGGTGATGGAACTACATTTATTTATGCCAAAATTGTGTGGCTTAAATAAGTCACTTGAATATATATACATATATATAAATATAATGAGACTGTTTCCTTCAGAATGTGAGCCTGTCTCAGAAAATTGTGACACTGATATACTCAGACACTAAAGATTGATTACACTGTCCTGAACCTGCTGTTTTATACTGAGCAGCATATGTGTAACGTTGTCAAGCTGGAAATCTTTTGATTTTCATTCACCATTATCAGACAGGATTATCAAAGCTTCTATATTATATATTCTTACACATTTTTTTCCAGCCTTCTTTTATCAATGTACTGAGACAAAAAGGAAAAATCAAACTGAAGCTCTCTTTTTTAAATTTAACATTTTAACATGCCCTTACAGAATCCTCTTAAAATTAAACCCCAATGATGAAGGATGGAAGGAATATGAAGATTTTACTCTTCTAATCAGTCTGAATTCAGACTCACAAAACTGTGGCAAACACTGTGACGCAGAGCTGAGCCTACTGGGTTTTATGACTGGGGAGTCATAAAAATGACCGAGACGTCAGTGATTTTCAATGTCCTTATTGTTAAGAGCATATATATTTGTAAGTGCACACAAAACACCATCTTCAGTATCAGCCACAGGTCAGTAGGCACCAAAAACAGTGTGTTATTTACCTTCTCTCTCTGAAAATGAAACTGCAAGCTTGTTCATCAACTAGTAAACTGCATCGGAGGGAGCAGGAGCTCCCGGTGTGGCTTGACTCTGAAGACTCACCACTGGCAGTAGCTTTCCCTACCAGGGATCTGCTGTCTGTCACAAGATTTTCCTGAAGTAAAAGCCCTGCTGACTGTGAGCAATGCTATCGCAGCCTGGCAAAAAGTCTCAATGAGATCTATCAAACAAAACCCGTAGAAAATTACTTTCATCATTTCAGCATTCACACCAACCTTTTTCCCAGCAAGAAGCTGAGGGCAGCGTGAGCAGCATCCACAGAGGGAGACTATCGGTGAGAGAAAGGAGTCTTGTGCACCAGTGCTGGGACTGGAAAGGAAGAAGCTGTAAAAGCACTGTGCAACCGCTTGCTGAAAATGCTCTGAGTGAGCACACTGCCTTTTCATACGGTGCCTATTCCTGTTCCACAAGGCAATGTGCTTTCTGCGTATTTGTCTTCCTCCTTCCATTGGTAGGTTGGATTTAAAAGTAAGTTACTTCAAACATTTACTCCTCTAAAATGTCAAATGGAGTAAAATCCCATCCATCACAAATGGTGAATCATCTTTGCATCAGACATTCAGGCTTGACTCATTTGCCCACTGCAGGGATATCACTCTTTATTGCTAAATATTCCCATTACTTAGTCCCTGTAATGGGAAAGAAGCATTCAGTGAATGGGCAAGACTGACTGTGAGGTACACGAGTCTCCCTTGCAAGCCCAAATTCACCTAACATCCACATTTTTTCACGTAAATTCACCCCTATATACAAACATAGGATTAAAACATTTCTAGCATAGAAAGCTTGAGCACACTTGCTGTCTTATTTGAGGCTTAAATCTTTGCTTGTGTGGCCTGAAGCTGAATGTGCTAACGCATGCCAATGTGCCAGCAGGTATTTTGAGCATACACTGGACACTTGGGGCCAACAATTAGCAACAAGGATGGAAGGTCATTGCATTTAATGTGCTTTTGAGACTGTTTTAATCTTGCAGCTGGAACAAAGCCTGAGACTACCCATTCTACTGACAGGGCTTCTTTGCTCTGAAGAATTTCACAGGCAAAGAAGATGGCTGTGACTCACTGGGCTCACTGTTTAGGTCAGAGTTTGCCTGAAAGAATTGAATCAGTTGAAAATTTTACTCATCAAACGCTTCCTATAATTAATTTCATTAATTTCCATTTGTAGAGATTCGTAATGCAAATATTAAGGTTGGTACAACTGAAGAGTGAATAGAAGTGTGTGTGTCTTTAAGCACCAGAAGAAAGAGCAGAGCAAAGAGTTAAAAGAATGCCCCATATTGAAAATAAAGGATGTTTCCAGGACACGGTTCCTGTGTTGTTTATGTCAAGGCCACAGCCCAGAGGACCTGCCAGCAGATGACCATGCACTCTGCCACCAAGAGGATAACATCCAGGTTGTGGTATATCACCCATACCATTACTTTTCCTATTAGCCCACCCAGAAAATAGGCCATAGACAGAGCCTGTATAGTCCAGACAAAGAAAAATGTACTAAGAGCTGATGACTCCTAAAGGGTATAAAAGATCTGTCCATAAACTAGCTGATCATTTCCAATCAAGAAGAACCACAGAGACATGATAAGGACTCAGTAGCTGGTGTACTTTTTCCCACGCTGCACACAAGTGATGATCACCAGGCCACATGAGCACACACATCTTGGTGCTTGTGAGAGTATGGGTGTGAGTGTGAGGGAATGAGATCTGTGAGGGGGTGATTGCGAGTTGAAAAAAATCAATCAGCTTATTTAGAGATTTTGTAATTAAATATCACCATCCCTTTCCCAAAGATCACACACTGAATCTTGTTACACTAAATGCCCTAAACTTTAAATGGTATAAAATATGTCTTCAAAAAAGTAGCAATGTTCTATGCTTCCATGACCCTGTGCAAAGAGAAAAAAATTAGCCTTTTTGTTTTCCCACCGAGTACATTTTTGCAGTCTACCTTAAACATGAAAAGCGACTTCTTTAGTGAAATACTAATGCTGACATCATTAGCTACATCTAGCATAGAGCAGCATCTGCTTGCATTTTGCAGATGCTTCATTTTGACACATCTATTAAAACACGTACGAGTAAGTGGTATTCTGCATTACACCTGTATGATTCCAGGGCAACTCCATTAGTGTTACTGATTGCACTAGACTAAAACTACATGGCCACTATGCTCTTATTTATTGTTTGGTGTCTTTTGGGTTTTTTTAAAGATGTGTATACAAAACCTTAGTGAGAGCACATTCTGTATAAAAGCTAACTAAAATGGCATCACCAGCTTGCTAGTGTATTATGAAATACCAACCTTCAGTAACCTTATGGTGCAAAAGTTACAGTGTTTTAGGTAAAAATCTAGTTAAGGAAAGATGAAGGGAGCAGACTGTAGCATTTTAAACATATGAGTATTCATGACGTTACATACAGATTTAGTAGATATATTAGTGCATATATATAGTACAGAATGCTTTAAAAATAGGAAGAAAGTCTCACTAATATTGTCTGTAGTAGAGAGAAGAAATTGTGCGCTCACGACATTTTTGGAGTTCCTACAAAAATTCACCTATCCTATCTTCAGATGCCTCAGTCTAACATAGTCACGTTATAAGCTCTTTATTATCAATGGAGGGAAACAGGCAGCTCCGAGAAGGTGAGCTGTCCAGCCCATCTCAGACTGACACAAATGAACCTCTCAGGGTATTTATTGCCTTGCCTTGCCTACAAAGGCCACCTACAGTGACAAACGGAAAACTAAATGTGCAATTTTTGCATGGATGAAGTTACAAGGGCTTCCTCTGCCCTCAGAACACAGATCATCCCCCACTACACACTGGAATATTCCTTTACGGCTTTTATTAGTTTTCCTCGTAATGAGCATGTGCACCCTAACATTGAAGCACAGTCCATCCTCAGTAATAAGATAACAAAATATCTTTACTTACACTGGAAAGAAAATACTCCTTAAAAGAAAAAAATTACTTTCCAAAACAAAAAATATATTAATATTACAAAAATAATGACTTTACCTATTATAACGTGCATGCCAAGTCTTGCCAAATGCTTCACAGTTTGGTAACCAATTCCTTTAGCACCTCCAGTCACTATAGCAACCTTTCCATTTTGTGTAGGGAAAACTATATGAAGAAAAAGAAATAATGCAAGGTTAGTTCACAATAGTAACACGATTAAGAAGTTAAGATGTATTTTAAAGAGGCGTGGACTTAACAGACCACTCAAGCCAGGCCAGTAAACAATCTCAGAAGCAAACTCTGTATGGAAATAAAAACTAGTCAGAATCCACCATTATCTACTGCGCTGTAATCTTCCAGTAGTAACAGTTCACGAAAGACTGGGGTTGATGACACAGAAGACAAACGCCCAGTTCAGAAAGTTTCTCATTTCTATTTGCATGCATTTTGTCATCCTGCAGCAATCCGCCCCTTAAAATTTTCACCTTCGCTTCCTTACAGAGCAAGGTGACTGCTGTTACAAGTCAGCTCAGGGATGGTTTACTCCATGCATACAGGGAAAAAAATTCAGTCATCGGCAGCATGATACCCTGAAAACTTCTTGAATGACGAAGGACAGGCCTCTGCCGGTAACATGGGGGAAACAGCACCTGGCTCAGTCAAAGACAGTGCAGCTAAAGGGCAGGAGCCGGTGGACCTAATTTACCTGACGAACTGAGCGCTCTCCCTGTTGAAAATCACAGGGTCCTGGCCCCCACAGAAAGGAGGGGGCAATTTTTCTCACAAAACGCCCACCTGCTTCTCCCACCCACCCCAGCCCTCTCCCACAGAAGGCAGCAGGCCGGCCCCACGGTGCCTCTGCCCCCACAAGCACACAGCCCGGCGGGCAGGCCACGCTCCCCAAACCCCCTCTGCCAGGGGCCGCGTAGACCTACAGCCCACGTCTCCTGCATCCCCCGGCAGCCCTTCGACCGCCGAGTGAGCCAAAAAGTGGTGGGGATGACCCCGGCGGGGCGGCCGCCACCCCGACTGCGAGCTCTCCTGCAGGCCGCAGGTTGCCCAAGGCAGCCCTCCAAGATGGAGGGAGCCCCTCCCGCCAGAGGAGAGCAAAGGCATTTTAGCTTAACTGCTTGGGGGAGGCACGAATGAGGTCAAATATCAAATCTGGGGGTTTTTTATGAGGTGGCGAATCTTTCATGTGAAGCACGTGAAGTGTGGTCTTCAGGTGACCGAGGTGAATTTCTGTTTGCTTTTTAGAAGAAGCTGCTAGGTATTTGTACAGGGAAAACGACGCTGAATATTTCATTTTGCTGCGGTGCACTGTCCGTAGGCAATGTTATAGATAACAAATGTTAAAAAGATGCCGACTTTCATCTATCAAAGGACTTTCTATTTTGATTTCTAGGTTTTTAGGGGATTGCTTTGTTGTACGACAGAAGCTCATATTTTATATGGTTATGAAACACAGAACTAGTGCTGATAGAAGCTGCTTTCTTCACAGCAACTTCAAAAAGGACACGGATTTCAACTTTTCTGAAACACATAGTTCTTTCCAGCACAATTCAACATGAATTTCTGTTCTCTTCAGGTAATGACATGATTCTTCCCATCCATGCAGAGTGAGAATTTTTTGCAAGTATTTGAAAGTTAATTCCCATTACAGTGATATCCATGCATGTAGGTGTTCTAGTATATATAATTCAAACTAAATAAAACTTTGCCAAGAGCTTTCCTAAAGGGCTTCAGTTTAGTTATATGCAGTCTTGCAATTTCCATCAAAAATATTTCTCCTAACAAACTCAAAGTAAAATGCCCACATTTTTTTCAATAATTAAGCCTGGAAATTAAAGCTAGACCTGACCATATATACTTGGGTAAATTGTCCACTCTGGGTAGCATTTTTTAATTGCTTATTACTTTACCAGACTTGATCTTTTTAGGTTGTTTTCCTGGTCTGTTCTCTGTCAGTGAAGCAGAAAAAAAAAGGAAAAAAAAAATGTTTTTGCAGTTTTTGAAAATGCAGACAGAAAACAAAGATTTTAAAGAGGAAGAAAAATAAATGTTCTTAGTGTGAAACAAGTTGTTGTCACCTCTGTGTGAACAGACCTTGTGCCTCAGCGTGACCGGATATACTTGAAATTTGGCAAGGACATATAATCTCAAGTCCTCTCAGCCATGGAGTTAAAAATCACTGCCTGAATGATCTGTGTTCATAAAAAGGGGGACCAGTATGTGCCCACTGTTCAACATTTTAGACCGCATGAAAACACGGACACATTGCCTTGTACCAAAGGCATGCTGAGAGGAGACAGGTCTCTTAACCAGGAACAGGGCAATACCCTTTTCTGGGGTATTGCCCTGCCATACCCAATATGGCAGACAGTTCTGAAACAAACATCTTTTTGAGATTTTATTAGCTTGAAAAGTTCAAGACTCTGAAAAATGAACTCTTGCAAAGCAAATACCATTTCATTCAGTCGAGTGACGCTGCAAGAGCCATTCTGAGGCCCCTCCTGAAGGGTCGAACAGCTTTAAATCCATACAGGCAGCACTGGCATTGCCTTGGTTTAAAGCAGGAAAGGCCATTTCTGGCCATGATAGATACATGTGTGAATTTTGCATGTGGCAACTGCATATGTACTTCTAAAGAAAATGCCATCTAGAAGGCAAAAATGTTAGCTGGGGTCCACTAAGTAATTTTCTTTTAAAGTTTAGTTAATCCAATCACAAACTACATTGAAAATTCCACTGACACGTGACAGAACAAGGTGCACAAATGCGAGGTTTGCTTCCTCCCCAGAGCTCTCCCTCCCCATTTATCATTAATCCTGTTTCACCTGTGCATTTGGGTACAGAATCCAAAGAAGAAAAGGAAAATTAAGTAATTTCCATTTTTGTTTATTTCACTATAGCTGAAAAAACATACTCCAACACTAGTAAAGTAATTTCCTCAAGAGAAATTGCTTTCCTTTGGGCACAAGTACCTTCTCCTCCTCTTCTGCCTCCCCATGCCTCCTCTTCCTTCCTTCCCTCTCACTACATTGCCAATGTGACATTTGGATTTCACACATTGCATACAGGTGCTGTCACTCATTTCCACTACTGCTCCACTATATCTATCTATTGAGTAAGAAGTGACATTTTAGTGCAAAATTAATTCACTTCTTAGAAGAAAATGAATGAAAGAAAATGAGAAAAAGAAGTCAGGACTGGAGAAGGGGCAATAACATGAAGGAAAAATGGGAAGTCAGAAGAGCAAAGTGGTAACAGGTATCACTGCGGTGAAATGGTGCTTAGCAGAAAACAATGAAAGAAAATGCCCAGTCCTGTCCTGTCCATGAGGGCTGCAAAGAAAAGGACAATTTTCGGTCCCAATGACCACTCAAATTAGGTACATTACCAACCTGCAACGAAGAGCATGACAGACAGACTCCACTGCAGAGATGCATTCAGTGACATCCTGAATTACAGAGAGCTTTAAAACAGGCCTGTTTATAGCAGCTAGCTCCAAGGACCTAAGAAAGCACCCAGGGAGGGAGAAATGAGGGCTGCAGACACATGGATAAATGGACGGTATCCATTTTATTTACAACAGGTACAGTATACAGCTTCTACATAGCATGGTTTTGAATAGACACAACGCTGCATGTCACATCTCAGTATATCGGCTCACTTCAGCCAAAATGGAAAACACAAAGAGAAAAACAGAAACACATCTTGGGGGGTGGGGGAGGACGGGACAAAAAAACCCCCCAACAAAATAACCCCCTCAATTAATTATTAATTTCTATTTTTATTAATCTTAAATTAATTTTAATCTGCAGAAAAGGTGTACTGTTTCCATCAAGACAGATACCTTAATGTAAAATGAATCTCCATGAGAGACACTGCTAGTTCTTACATCAATAAAAGTGGTCAAGATCAAACCCGTGCTGCGTGTGTAAGCCAGTGGCAACTACAGTGAAAGGCAGTTTACTGGTGCCCTGTTCCCACTAGAACTCCACTGTTGGGTAGAGTTTGTGAAACACCCACCTTTTCAGTGTGAAAATACCTTTTCCATGACGAAACACAACATGAAACTTTCAAAGCAGACCTGGGCTCAGCCTGGTTTTCCAGCAGATACTGGTTTATTTGGTGCGAGAGGTTGAGCGGAGCATGGCCGGAGGCTGGGAGCCCCCTGGGCAGGAGGCAGTGGAGACCCACCAGCCTTGCCAGGCTGGGGAGGTTCCCTCTGGCGCTTCTTGCACCTCATTTAAAACACCCCAGCTCTCTCTCTGCCTCTGCTCCTGGTAAGTAGGTAGATACCAATCTCAATTACAGAGGCATAATGCCAGTGATCTCACCGTGGGACACGAGAACCGTACAGCCCTGGTGCTAATGAAATCCCCTGACCAAGCACTAGCTGTTAATTTCCCTTTGTGTTCGAAGAAACCAGCCTGCAGTCCTTCGGTGCTGCTTTATCATGCCAAAGTCTGAGAGAGGCTTCTCTCAGGCTGCAGGTTCTGCCTGCATCCCAACATATTTGGAAGAAATAAGCCTGTCTACTTTGCAAGTGGATTAAGCTAAAGCAAAAAAATAAGGTAGATTTATTCTGTAGTAAATATGTCCAGATATGAAGCTACTTTAAAATAATTATTGTCCTTTTAAATATACCTCTCCTTAATCTGAATTAACTTCCATGTACAGAGATATCCTCACAGAAAGCCGATACTATGAAGAATTTAAGACAATTCTGTAATTTTTAAAAATACTAATTTTCAAGGGACTCTTAAGGAGGGCTGTCAAGATGTCTCTGCAACTGCCAAGACCACAGAGAAATAAAAGACTGCAGACCCTTATCAATGACTACTTCCATATCAATGACCAGTTCCTGCTGGCAAAATCTCAACTCTGGGGTAGGGGTGGGGGTAATTGAAGTAGCCAAATCAAAACAGAGGCATTAAACTTTCTTCTTTGCAGAAATGTACTATGTGAACACAGACAATGCAAACCTCAGAAGAAGAGCTCCCCTTAAGAGTTGCTTGCTTTGGTATTCTGTAATCTTTACAACACAGCCTGTTTGAGGCCAAAAATAAGTATTAGAAGTTTATTAAAGGCAAATTGCATCAAATTTGTGCAACGTTCCATCTCCTACCCTATTAATCCAGCATCTGCATTGTGG